CTGCTCCACTTCCCACCCCAAACACTTGGTGTGAAAGCAGGAGGGATCCCAAGCTGTGGGAGGTGGAACAGCAGAGTGATGGGGATACAAACACCAGCAGCTTCTCCACCCCCTTGCAGGGCTGAGACAAACTGCTGGCGCCTCTGCTGACTCTCACAAGCCCCAACTTCTCCCTCACTCTCCTTCCCGTAGGCGTTCACCCTTCAGAAGAACCACAGCCAGATCCTCAGCCTTTCTCCAACAATTCCGTGGTCGATTTATACATGAAAAGGAAGAAATCAGCTGGTAAGGGCAGTCTCTGGACAGAGGCCAGGCCAGCACCCCCTGGCCCAGACCGGGACCGTTAAGACAACACCGTCCGCTTGACGATCCGCCCGTCCTTGTCGATGGCGAAGTTGTAGTTGCGAGGGTTGTCCAGGCACTCCTCAATCCGCGCCTCCAGGTTCTCGGGGGTGATGAACGTCTTGGCTTCCTCCTGAACCAAGGACAAGGATGGGTTCTTAACGTGTGGGAGTGAACGAGTCACTACTTGGACCCTGCAAGACCTTGAGATGCCACCAGCATCGCCAGGATCTCAGCAGGAGCCGAGTCCGGAAGGAGGAAACCTTTCTTCTCCAGCTCAGGGTTATCCCACCCTGTTTTCAAAGCTCTCACTCAAGCTCTATCCCATCCACGCGCTGTCAACACTCCTGGAAGGTGCCAACACTCGTGTTCCCAGCTCCCAACACAAAAAAAACCTCTGGAAAATACACCCACAGCTTCCACACGGCTCCCACGGGCCGTCGTCAACTCCCATCAAATCCCAGAGCGGTGCTGGCTCCTCTCCCCAGCAGGAACCAGCTGCTCTTACCTGCAGCTGCAGAACCTCCTTCTCCTTCTCCTGCAGGAAAGCCTCCATTTTCCTGGCCTCCTTCTCCGCAGCCTGTAACTTCTGCTTCTTCTCTTCTTCCGCTTCTTTCCTAATTCTTTCCTCTCTGCCATAAGGAAAGGAAAATAAACCAACGAGGGTTTGGTGAGCTGGGGCTCTGCAGGGTGACGCAAAGCCACCGAGTTTGAGCGCAGACAGAACAAAGGGGACGGAGCAGAGTCTGAGCTGCCCCCAGTGTGGGGAATTCTCCCCAGAATTCCCAGAAATCAGCAAACTCCAGCTGGGGTTTGGATATTCCCTGGGAGATTCCACGTCACAGATTGTCACGTTCAGCACATTAATGAGGGTGGACTGGGAAGCTCTTGGATTTTCTCAGGCTCTCTCAATCTTCCAGGATTGTGGTTTCAGTTTTGGAACCATCTCTGCTCCGGGATCACTGGCTGGGGACAGGCTGGGCATGGCCCACCGGGTGGTGAGCAACTGCACTGGGCATCACTCGATTGAATATTCCATTAGTAGTCTTATCATAATTATTATTTTAATTATTAAATTATTATTTTAATTATTAAACTCTCAACCCCCAAGTTTTCTTACTTTCACCCTTCTGATCCTCTCATTGGTTCTACCGAGGGAGGGTGAGCGAGCGGCTCTGTGGTGTTTGGTTGCCAGCCAGGTTCAAACCCCCACACAGGGTCTGGCTCTGTTCAGGGCTCCATGGTGGAGCAAGAGAATCCACCAGCAGGTGGAGGGAGGGGATTCTGCCCC